GGGTTTGAACCGCCAGCCTTCTGGTTAGCAGTCAAGTGCCTTAGGCACTACGCTACCAGAGCTGTGCTTATAGCTAAATTAAAAACTTTTACTTTTAATTTTTATGAGCCAATATGTTATTCTATTTTATTTTATTAAGTTAGTATTAGTTGTTGGGTTTTAGTCCTGTGCAACCAAAAAGACCCTACTGTAGTACATGTAAGGAGCTCTGGTGGTGTAGTGTTTAAGGCATTTGGCTGCCAACCAAAAGGTCAGTAGTTTGAACCCACTAGCTGCTCCGTGGAAGAAAGATGAGGCAGGCAGTCTGCTTTCCTTAAAATTTACAGCCTTGGAAACCCAATCAGGGTCGCTATGAGAATTGACTCAATGGCAGTGAGTTCGTTGGTTTCTTTGTTTATAGTAGATGATGCAATGTAATTTTGTGTTTTTGCTGATACTTCAAATTAATTTCACAGCTATTATTACAAAATCTTGCATTAGGAACACCAATATCAAGCACATAGTAGGTTTTCTATCTTATGTTTATTGAATGAAAATATAACTACTAGAGACATGACCCTCTTCTGTGTGCCTGAATATGTGTGTCTTTTTTCTTGTTCTCTGTGTATTTTTAAAGAATCCCCTTCACCACCCAGCAGTTTTCCTGAATTTATAGGTAAATTAGGAATACCTTTATTCCCTTTCTGGGCTCTTCGCAGTAAGTTTTCTTCAGCCCTTCCCTCCTCAGAGTGTAGAGAAGATACCCCCCTGGTTTATAGTAAATCCCCTGACACACTTCTTCTTCTAGAGGGCTGAAAATATCCCGAAGGAGAGCTGAGCAACGATCTGATGATGCTTGTAGATTCTGCTTACAAAAGTATTCCAGCTTTGCTTCTAGCTGAATCTTCAAGTAAACAAAGGTCCATGGAGAAGATGTCAGCAACACCTCAGCATTTCTGTCAATGATTCTCAAAAAGAAACTACATATTTTTTTTCTAGAAATTTAGAAATCTCCTGAAACCCATTTCTTCTGTTATTTCTCCTTTAACTAATGATCATCAGACCATGTATCTCTAGTCTCATGCCCTTATTTTAAATGCAACTTATTGTTTGTTTACATTCCTGGTTTCAGTATTATACTAGACTTGGGATTTCAAATGGGGAGGCTGTTATTGGGATAATTTTGGTAGCACTGATGCCACTTTGGTTTTCAATTACATCAATTGTTTAGCTTTTCCCTGGAATGATGTCAGCCTGGTCTACAAAGCCTGGATACATAATTTTTTAGAAGATACCACTGGAAATTTTGTGTGCTTAATTAATAAAAGTGCAAAGTTAATACTTGAAAAATACAGTTTTTAAAAGAATTAGATTATTCCAATAATTGGACCTATGGAAATAATATGACAAAAGTGGATTATATATATGCACATGAAAGTTTCAAAATCTATGGGGCCCAGAGTAGTTACTTTTTTTTTCTCCCAAAAATAACAATGATATCTTGGCCACGTAAGTGATGATTACCATCATTTTCCTGTGTGCTAAGAATTGCTCTTCTTAATTCCATTTTTTTTTCCCTTTAATAACAATACTTTGCCCTCTATTGACTCCAATCTCTATGACCTAAAACAACAAAAATTACCTCTAATGTCTCCAGGAACTTTTGGTCCATATCCTTGAAGGAGCTCTTCATGAAGACTTGGATGGCCTCTCTCTCACTGGCCCTGTGCAGGTCCAGCAGCTCCTGGAGGGTTTCTGTAGACAGTTGCACCTTCTGGACCATCTTCTGGTCATAGTGGGCAATGGCCTTTTGCACTGCAGCTGAGTTCTCTATCCAGGCCATGGCCAGGACTGCATTCTCCATGCAAGGCAGAAACCCATTGTTGATGGCATTGACATAGGTCAGCACCAGGTTCTCTAGACCTTCACAGGGTGAAAAGATACTCATATAATTTGCAGGGAAAGAAGGCATGCTCTATACTGAGTCATTTTGAGAATTTTAATTTAACATTGCATTGCCTAAACTTTTTTAGGATTCTTTACACTTAAGTGGCCTAGATAAATACCATCGGGAAATTGTATGATCCGAAAGCAAGATCTCCCATTATTTGGGAAAAGAAACCATGTTCAAAGGGAAAACTATAGAGAACTCAGATGCCTGTGTCATTGTCCATATTTCATCCATCTCCCATGGAGAAATGAGGAAATGATTGTGTCAAAGTCACGTGCAGTTCATTTGGTTACAATGTTGTTGGCCTTTTGCCTCTTTACCCTTCCCTTTCATACCCTCTTTCTCAGGTTTCATTCTATTCAATATTTCCTCTTCTCTTTCATTTCCATGTGGTAGAACTTGTATGAGAGTTGCTCTCCATGGAATTGACACAAAATGAGCCAATTAGACCAGGTCTCCATCTTTGTTAGAACTTTCTTGTTTCCTTCCTTGTCCTTAGTACACTTTTTAGTTATACTCAACTTTCTTCAATAACACAGCAAAAATTTACAGAATTTTTTATAGAATCCTTAGAAACAACTTGATCAAGAAGTCTGCTCAGACTTTTAGTGTTCTAGACATCTTGTGCCTTTGTTTGCTTAATGTTTGTATTGATTAAATTCTATCTCTATAGGATTTGCTCATCTTGTGCTTATCACAGGCTATGACACATAATAAGAATCTATTATATTTGTAGACAAATGCTACCAATCCATGTGGTTTATTCTAGTTCAACAGTGGACCAGTAACTTCTTTAACTTGGCCTTTTCTTCTGTTTATGCTTCTATGTATCTTTCTTTGGAAGCATAACTAAAAAAGCACTACAAATAGTTTGGATACCCACTTGAACTTAACAAATATGATAGTATGATTTACTCGTTGGAATTGGCTATCCATTTGTCAACACTGACACTGGAAGGAGAATCCTATAACAAAGTTCCCTATTCATTATGTTCAATGGAAGGAAAATCCTAAAAAGATACTCATGAGGTCCATTGACCTTGATGTCTCCTGGAAGAGTCTTGATCTTGGAATGGCTGAAGATGTAGGAACAGAATTCTGCCACTTGTTGGACAAAGTCGGGATCCAGCTCATCATTACGTAGAATCTCGTGTTGGGCAAGCTTCTTCCGATCACTGGGCAACTCAAAAATAAAGCATTTCTTCTTTGGAAAGAACTTTTGTATACACAGACGGGGCAAGTTGAAATTTTGAACTCTTTTATCAGTACCTACAGAAGGAAAAGTAGGATTTATTTGTTGTTGTTGCTGTTATGTGCCATTGAGTAGGACTCAACTCATAGCGACCCCTCTTTGGGTTTCTGAGGTGGTATCACTACTGTAGTAGATTGCCCAACCTTCCTTCCGAGGAATGGCTGGTGGATTCGAACCTCCAGCTTTCTGGTTAGCAGTCAAGTACCTTAGGCACTATGCTACCAGAGCTCCTAGGATTTATTTAGTATAGTGTTTATGTTCATTTTAATCTATTTCCCTCAATAAATAGTCCTTCTATCTGTTGTCATTTATTTCAGTATATCTTCACAAGCTTTAAGCAGAAAATAGAAGGTAACTGCTCAGGGAAAGGAAAGAAGAAAAGAAACTTGCTCCAAGAAGTTAGGAGTAATACAATTTAATACTGGATCTATTAGTTCATCCTAAACTAACAGTACTTATTTATTTAGTACAATAGCTAGTTGATTGAATATAGGAAATCATAAATTTAACCATCTACATGAAAGAGATAATTTCCTGTGTTACTTTTCCATCACTGAAGTCCGTTACCTTGCTTTGGTCTTAGTGAATTCTCCAGGTATTCATCTGCTGTGATGACTTGCCCATCTATTTCCAGCTCTAGAAAGAAATCTCTCAGAGTCCACACTAAATCTGGGAAGAATCTCACAGAGTCAGCTGCATCTTCAACCTTATAATAATCAGGTGAGCATCTTGCCTTGAGCAGATTTATCAGTTCCGTCACATTGCTGAAATACAGTTAAGGATACGTGGTAGACATAGCACTACATCTAATCCCATATTTAATTCTATGTATCTCTGAACTTTTATTTTCCAGGGCTGCAAACAAGTTCTGCTCAGTTCAGCTATGGCTGAGGAAGTGACTCTGGAACAGACCCGATAGATTAGCTGAAGCACAATGGGAAACATTATGGGTCAAAGCCCTGCTAGAAACTTAGTTTCCCTTTTAGAAAACAAGGGCAGTGTGAGCGTTGCATAGCAACTAAATCTCTTGCCAACCATATTTTAAGCATAGTTGGAAACAGTAATGCTCCCCTGAATGATGAAGGTCAACAATGCCACTTTGAATGGGTGTCGCTCTCCACAGTCCTGCTAATAATCCAGTCTCCCACATGAGGCTCCCTATGCCTCTTTTTATTCTCACATTCCAAGGCTTCAACCTCTAATTTTTCCTATTCCAGTTATCATTCCAGTTCACCAAAATCTTAAAACTTCAGGTCTGTTCCAGTTTCACTTTGTCAGCCATGACTGAACTGGTGTGAACTGGTCTGAAGCACTGATATTTTCCCTTTGTGTCTTAACCAGTTTATCATTTCACTAGTAAAAACATGGACTTTTTCCTTGCATTTTCAGTGTTTATCATGTTTTCGTTTTCAGGTTTGATTCACAATGATTCACAGACATACACACACAGAGTATAGGAGTTCTCTCTGGCTTTGGTGCTATCCTAAACCACAGAAGGATACTATAGTAGGTCAATAGACTCCTGGTCAATTTTGTTCATTATATTATATACAAAGATGCTGCTCAGAAGTATTGCCAGAGCAAAGATCTGGGTATCATTCTTCTCATCAACCTAGAAGTCAGAACAGATTTATGTCACATCTCAGGGCATGCCCAGATGAGCAATCATTAAAAATAGTCCTATGACTTGCAAATATCAAACAAGGTATACACAACCATGAGTGTCAGACATGTATAAACTTTGAATAGTCCTATCACAAGCATTAATAATTTTATCCAAAACTATATATTATTAACAGTTGAGTCCCTCTTGTAATTATTGTTAGATGTTTGCAAACCAGGAGTCAAAGTTAGTGGAATAACCAAAGTTCTTAAAATCCATGTTTTTTTGTTATGTAAAAGAAATCTGGCCTATAAGCATGTTGTTGTTGTTGTTAGTTACCATTGAGTCAATTTCCAACTCATGAGAACCCCACATATATCTGTTTTATTGAGCAGCTATTATGCACCAGATGGTTCATATTAGTGATCTTATCTAATTGAAGAAAGCTTTCCAGATGAGGAAACTAAGGTTCATATTGAGTCTATGAATGTTGATAAATCTAAAACAATTTTTTTAAGGAAATTCAAGATAAAATTTGCTGGAGCCAAACCAAAAAATCCAGTACCATCTAGTGGATCCCAATTCATGGTGACTTTATAGGACAGAGGAGAACTGCCCCATAGGTTTTCCAAGGTTGTAAATCTTTTCAGAAGCAGATTGCCCCATCTTTCTTTCTCTTGCAGGGTGACTGGTGGATTCAAACCTCTGACCTTTTGGTTGGCAGCTGAATGTTTTAACCACTGCACCACCAGATCTCCTCATGCTAGACCCAGCTCATAAAAATTCATGAGAGCCAATTGGGTATATCACTTCCCAACGTGAAATCAGCCATGAAGACATTATTTAGGAAATTTAAAAGTGCTACAAGCCAAAGCTTTTTTTTCCCCCTCAGTGAGCTCATTAATCAACATACCACTGGAACAATCCCATGTATGTACTAATAAAATTGTGAGTTGGATAAGACCAAAGAGAAATCAATGATTTGAGAGATTTAAACTCTGTATAGACTGAGTAGTATTGGAATTTTCTTTTTATTACTTGTCAAAGTCAGAGATCTACAAATGCCTTACTTGAACACAAGTTCATCTGATTCAAGCCCCAGGCCTTAACCACTTTTCTCTGAAGGAACAGACTCTTGATAGTGATTTTTTTTCTTTCTTTCTTTGAATCATCTTTATACATCTAGATTAATTGCTGAAGTCAACATGTGTGTAGTATCTCCTAGTCATGATTCTGGCTTATATTTTTTCTCACTTCAAGATTCTAAACTTTTACTATTTAAAATAGGAAAAAAGAAAAGATATACTCTGGTCATGCAGAAGTACAAATTTAGGTCAAAGCTACCTGTGTAAAAAATGTTCAGAGGTGAGAGGGTTAATCAAAAGAGACTCCTCCTTCCTTACCTTCTCTACATCGCCCAGGCCCTCAGTGTCAAGCAGAACTAGGGTGTGATTTTGTATATTAGGGTGAGGCACACACCACATCCAGATTCCCTTGGTGTGAGACTGCACTGTGGATCCCACAGAGAACCCTGCAGAAGGGAGTGGTGATAATTAGAGGTTGGAATAAAAGAGGGGCTCTGAAAATTGGGGACTTGGTAATTGAGGTAGATTTAAGGAAAACAAGATGAGGAAATAGCATAAAATACAACGAGTAGGGATCCAAATTATAACCAGACAAATGGGAAAATAACAATAGCAACTTGAAATTTGACATTTTTTACAAAATATCATGTTAATAACAACATTTATAG